AGAAAATAAGGAGGCGGAGCAACCGGGTCGGATCTTGAGGCTTCAAGCTTGCTGAAAATGGGTCTAAGGAGCTGCTGGTCAGAGCTAGGGTTGAGAATGGAGCTGTTGGTCGCTGCTGGTCGCGAATCGGGGCTGTGGAGGATAGAGGCGGCTGAAACTCGCCGGAAAACGGAGGTTGGTGGCGGAGCTGCGGCCTGGTGCGGACAGGAGCTGATAGGGTCGCGATTTCGGGCCTGTGACGCGAGCTTTGAGCTTGGACTGGACGGAGCTGAAGCTGGTCGCGACGGGGCTTAGCTTGGTCGCCGGAAAAACGAGCGGGCTGAGAAAGAGCTGTTGGTCACAGAGCTCGGCTGAGGACGGCGGCGCGTGGTGGTCGCGAGGAGGAGGAGCTGCGAACAGAACCGGAAAAATGGAGCTGGAGGTGGGGCTCGCCGGAACTGGAGTCGCGAGCCGGAGCTGAAAACTGTGGACGACGGAGGCGGGCTGAATCTCGCCGGAAAACTGGGAACGAGGGCTGCGGGTTTTCGGCGCGAGTGAGCTGGGAAGGGCGTGGACGAGCTGGAAACGAGCTGCTGGGAGTCGGGCTGAGGCCTGGACGCGGCAGTGGCGAGCTCGCCGGGGAAGATGGCCGGAAATGGAGCTCGAGCTGCGGGTTCGCTGGAAAACTCGCCGGAAAACGGGAGGAGGATGAAGCTCAAGCCATGGAGTGTTGTTTTCTTTGATGTTCTTGAATAAAAAGGGGAGGATAGAGCTTGGATCTTGAAAATGAGATGGTGTAGTGAGAGAGATGATGAATAGTGATTATGGTGGCTAGGGTTTGTGTCTTGATGTTGGGGGGTTGGGAGACAAGGGAACATATGCTATTTATAGAAGATGGGAGGAGCTTAGGGTTTCTTGTGTATAGTGGGCTTTAAAATCGGGCTTGACAATTTAATAAAGTCGGGCTTAATAATCGGGCTACTAAATTTAATTCGACTTGGGCTCGAATTTTATATTGAATATCGATTAAAGAATTAAATGCTCGGTTAATAAAATTAACCGGACTTGGGCTAATTAAATTAGTCGATCCAATTTACTAGAATAATTGGTTGGTTAATTAAAAAAAATGACGGCTTGTAGTAATAATTTTGACTTAGGCCGAAATTAAATACTACGAGGGCTCGATATTTAATATATCGCTTGGTCTTGAAAATTAATTCGACTATTCGAATTAAAATGGCCGACTAAAATTATTGGATTCGCTCATAATTAATTGGGCTCGAATAATCAAATTATCCGACTTTGGATCACTTAAATAAAATTCCAACTTTAATAATTAAAGTCGGAAGAATTATTAATGGCTTAGACTTTAATTCTAATTATTTAATTTAATGCAAATAAATATAAATAATGCATCAAATTTAGCAACTTAATATTTATGGAAATATAGTCGAGCTCCATAAATAGTAAATAAAAATCTGGGCGTTACAAGTAATAATACAATAAATATGTACTCCCTCATATTCTAAATATTTGACGTTTTGGATTTAGTGAGTATTAAGCAAATAATTGTCGTTTTACAACTTTTAATCTTATTTTTCCATTTTTACCCATCCAATTACTACAGTATGCCTCTTCGTATTCAGGTTCATCTTTCCCAAAACTCCATCTCTTTCCCATGGAAATTTGTATTTTTTTCACTCACTTTACTTCTTTATATTCTTTTAACTCACAATTTTTCTAGTCATGTGGATTCTTATTCCATTGTTCTCCCTTTTACTCTTCTCTTTAGATTAATGGATTCGAAAGGTCAGGATGCTTCAAAATTAAATCTGGAAATCCACTTTGCTAATTATGTTCAATCTCACCATCCTCTTATGGATGAATTTCTTCAACTATTGGAGAAGACACAAGCAAGTTTAGATGTTGCCCATTCATTAGCTTTGCAAATTAGTGATTCGACAGTCATTTAAGGTGTATGTGTCTGATTCGGACGTTGAAGACGATGTTCATCAATTTTCTACAAGAGGTTCAGTTCATATATGCTTTCTCAATTTTCACATGTTTCAATTGATTTATTTAGTTTTGGAAAAAGCTGCTAATCCTTGCTTGTTTAATTAACAATTTTTTATCTCTTCCGGAATTTTATTTAATAAATTTTGTTTTCTTAACTAGTGTCATTCATTATGTAAATAATTGTGTATTAAATTAATTATTTGTGATTTTTGTGCATATACTATGTCATTGACAATCAAATTACTTGCCAAAATTGACAAGGAATCACGATGGAATAGGCTTTTTTTTTCTTAGATCATTTTTCTTTGTTTATTCCTCTTCCTTGATATGTTGCCTTTTTGAATTGTTTTCAAAGTCATAACATTGTTATTCTATTGATGATAGCTTTGTTTTGTTGTATGTGGTTCTTGACTTAGTGACGGCTCAAACAGAAGTTCAAACTAAGGTTAATGCAGTTGGAACCAGTTTTTCAAACTTTAAAAGTGCAACAAAGGTTGGTGAGAAGCTTATTGTTGGGGACGCAATATCTAACCCGAATGATCAAGTTGTGCACGAGACGCTAAAGATTTTTGTGCCGACGTTGTTTACTGGAAAGTAGATTAACAAGTTAAGAATATTATGAAGGGTACGGTTAATTTGTTTTACAGACTATTTTATCGAGCCATTTTGTATTGATTGAGAAGTGGTTTGGTTTTATGTTTCCTAGTGGTGAATTGTGATCTATGTTCGTTCCATCATTTGACGTGAATGATCTTCATTGAGATATTTTTTGAATGTTTAAGCTCATTGTATTGCTCAATCTAAGTGAATCACTTCTTTGCGATGGTTTGTACTTCTATTTTCTTGTGTTAGACTTTTTTTATAGGATAAACAAAACTTTTAATTTAACAGCAGGACAACAACAATTCAACAAATATATAGCATTATTTTGTCTTGCACATGAAGTCCAGGCCATGATGATTGATAAAACACAAAACAAGATTATAAGGAAAAGCATAGAACCCTACAGTTTAGGGTTTATGCTTCTTATTTCATTGTTATTTCCCACAAAGAGAGAGAGAGAGAGAGAGAGAGAGAGAGAGAGTGGAAGATGGAGAGGGAGAGAGAGAGAGAGAGGAAACGTAAATTTTAATGTAGAAGACCATTAATGTTTCGTTTTCCTTCAGGCCCTTTTGTGTACCATGATGAAACATAATCCCCATATTTAGGTGGCTCGAAAGTTGTACCTCCCACCAACTGCTTCCTGTCCACAGCCGTATGACGGTATTTAGTCCCGTGGGTAGTATGTTTTTGGGTTTAGCAAACAAGGGGAAACAATGCTTCGGACGTTAAATATGACAGCACATATGTACACGGATCACATATATCATTACTAGATGAATACATATGTAAATGTTCAGCCTTAGGAGATTTATTTTTTTATTTTTTTAAATTAAGTGCTTGTTAATAATGACAAGTGACTATTCTTGGTAAAAAATAATTATTGTTTCGGAGAGCTTTATAATCTTTTTGTTGCACAAGTTATTTGATTACTGATGGTTTTGGCTGAGAGTTAAGATGTTGTGAACCATGTTATCTAAAACATGTTATAGATGCATTACAGAGCTATGGAAATTTAAGGTTTTACATGACCTTTAGTTCTTAATTTACTTTTACAATCTAAATTATTCATCATCAAGATACTGGAAATACCGGTTAGTTCTCTTTAATTCATTCCAAGAAAAGTAAGCATTAATTTTTTTATTTTTATACTCAAATTTCATTTTAAAATTCCAAAACTAGAATCTGTAACGAAGCATGGATGTCTTTATCTATATTCTAAAAAAAATACAAATATTCAATCCAAATAGAGCAAACCAAGCAACAAAATAAGCATTAAAATGAAAGAGAAACCCATTTAGCTCTTATGGCCTGAGAAAACAGACAAAAAAATTGAACATCATATACAGTTTTATCCTGGTGGGTGTGAAATTACAACAAGAAGCCATGAGTTTAAAAGGTTTAAAAAAAAATTATTATGTCCAGATTGACCACCTAAAATATAAAAAACCAGACACTGTACAATGATCTCTCAGTAACACGAGCGAGTGTATATTTGACCTCATCATCTGTGAGGAATTTTAAGTGACAAAGACAAAATCAATTTGCAAAAAGGAGTTAACTTTTTTTTATCACCTTAGCAGCATGCAACAATATCAAATTTACAGAAATTTGCCCCAAGGTACTGAAAAAATGGCCACTTTGACGGGTCCCAGCCGGAAATGGGAAATGGGAAATGAGTGGTGATCAAAATAATCTCTCTAATCCAAACAATATCATTCTACTCAACCAACATGCGGCTACCATAACCTTTTGCTTTTGAATTCCTGCAGGAGCATGTCTAAAAAGTCGAACTCCAACATCATTGAATTCACAATTTTCATCTACATTATGAGTTGTATAGCTAACCACTTCAATTTCCTTGTCTAACATGTCTTCCAGTAGATTTTGTGTCTGTCATTGACAAATTGTCATGAACGGAGACAAACAGAATAATGTTCATCGACTTACAGTTCCAATTGCCTTAAGTAAAACTCTCCATCACTAATCCTATATGAAAAAAAAAAAAAAAAAATCTAAATATCTAATCATTCGTTATCAACCTATCATTCTCATTTACAAGTAGTCAATTAACTAAAATCTGCACACATCTGAAGTGATTTAGGAAGTAAACAAACAAAATATGCGGACTTATTATCCAATATCAAAATTAGGCTTGAAACTGAAGAACAACGGACTCACAGAACATTTGCATTCTCATCACACTGATCCAGAAATAAAAAACAAGCAACATTCATTAGCTTAAATGACAACACAAAATTTAAAGCAAAAGGTTAAATTTGGAATAGTCACCATAAACCATAACATGTGAACTTTACCATAAACCACAAAACTTAGAAAAAAGGACAAAAAAAAAAAAAAGAACAAAAGCAAGAACTTCAGCATAAAACACATGAACTATTATCCTAGACTACAGTCAAGCAATCTCCAGACACGACTAAAGTTCTTCCGATCCACCTCCAATCAAACCGTTTCCTACAACCAAATGATAAAAAATATCAATAATAGTGAATATATGACGAAGAGAAGCAAATGTGAACATTGACTTACCTAGTCGTGTTCCTAACAAATCTCTAGTCGCTTACACTAAGGTATCCTCGCATGAAATTTGTGTAGGAAGTTGTCCTAGTCTTTGAAGGCGTTTTTTGTTTATGTGAGGGACTTTATATCGATTTCCTCCTTCTAATTTCATGATTTCTTTCATGCATAATTGCAACGTCAACCACATGTAATTGAGCTTCATGGGTGAATAGTCGGAGAATGCGTTCTCTACTGCACTTATAAGCTCAGGGATATTCTTTGCACACATTTTTTGTTGTAGCGACTGTATGACCCTAAAATACCCAAGGTCGAGTATATTTAAATCTGGAGAATTAGGAGGCTGGCAAGTTAATCGAATGTCGAAGCCATTTTGTGAAGCTGCTGCTACAAAATCAGGGTCATTAGGAGGAACGTGTGTCCTAGCATTGTCTCGTTGGATATAAATAGTTTCACCATAATCGGAGCTAGGCCATTTCTCAATAATGGCTGGGATAACCTTTTCAATCAAAAATGCTTTCACATTCTCCCTTTTAACAGATGTGATTGCCTTCATCTCCATTGTGTCAGCTTGTCTATTCCTGCTATTTCTCTGGGCTGGTTGCTCTGTCACAAACGCCCAACATCCAACATTTCCTGAAAATACCACTCTCCCTTCACCATCAAATCTAGGACGAGCAGTGGCTGCTAGAAACATGACTTTTGCAATGTTATTTTTACTTTGACATGAACGGTGAGGATATTCTTCATTGTTCAGTATGTAATACGTTTGCTCTTTTTTTGTCAAGTAAAACCATTTCTCGTCGATATGCACATATTTATACATTCCCTTGAACTTTGGTTCGTTCGGCATTGTGCTTTCATCAAGCATTGATAAACAAAACAATAGTCGCGATGTTTTATTTTCTTCTTTCAAATGTGGTTTGATGGCACTTGAGTGACGACGTAGAACACCTCGCTTAAAAAGGCGATACAATTTGGAATAACTAACACCTAAGGCATTAGAAAGAGATGTAAGTGTTGTTCGTTGATGCCACTTTATCTGTTGAATCTTACTTAAATCTACCTCAATTCCTCATCAATGGAGATACGAAACTAAGTTACTACTTTTGGCCTTCTTCAAGGTACTACATCTGAGCCGAGTAATGTTCTTTTGTAAATTTTCCATATTCTTTGAACAGTTCGCAGCTCCGGAATATTGAACATATCTTTCACTTCTTTTGTTGTATTTTTTTTAATTTACCATTTACACTTTTCTCCAACAAAGCATGGTAAATTGCCCACCGTTCAACGTCAGTTAAGATCCTGTTCTTTCTCCCTTGAACATTTCCTATTTAAATAGTGATAATCGAATTAATATAGAGAACAAGCAATGAAACTAGATACTCCATGTAGTCAATTAGGAGTATTGTTTACTCACATGGAAGTGATGTACCAAAATTTTTTTGTACTAAATTTTAGCAAGTGAAGTAACAAAATAAAGTAACTAATTTTTTTTGTACTCACATGGAACGTTGCGTCAGTTAAGAGTATTATTTAGAAAGTGAAATAAATTAGAGAAATGTAAATTTAATTAAAGTAGATTTTGTAAGATCAGAGTATACTTGTTCATTGATACCTTTGGCTTGACTAGTCAGTTTGCTACAGAGTATTCAACAAAATAAAAAAGAAAATTTTGATTCATTTTAATATTTTCCCATATAAAGCTTATGTTCTTATGTGTACGGACTACACATAATATGACAACAAGTGAATGTAACAAAATGATTGTAAATATATTTACT